TGAAAAACTGAGCATGCATCCTGGCGAAACTCCACTAGGTAATTGGAAGAGGCAGAATGGAGCCCATAAAATGGGTTTAAGAAGCATTCTGCTGGAATGCATTGGCAGAATAGTTTTTGGAGCAAAAGAATAGTTTGTCAAGTTATTGAACACTCAGCTTCAGAGTCAACAATTGTCAGGAGTGGGCATGGCTGTGGGGAAGCTGTTCCAGGAGAGTGCCCTGCCCTGTGGCTCACAAAAGCAATTGATTCAATCAGGGCCCAAAAGGAGAAAAACCTGTTTGACGTGGATGTGGACACAACACAGGTCTGACCATTTAGCTCCTTTCTCAAACCAGGAGATCATAACAAAAAAATTGCTGACCCCAAAAGCTACTGCAATATCATTTGTGTTGAAGAGTTTTTAAAGAATCTTGGACAAAGCTTTCTTGATGGTAACAAGCTGATCCTGCCTGGCAGATGTACACCTGCTTGAAACTTTTTTTCCTCCAGTGAAAAAGGTCCCCTGTGTTTTCTCCACATTTCTTCTATCCAACAGGAATGAGTAATATCCCTATGATCAAGAAAATCCCAGCACCTGGCAGCAAGAAGAGCTCCCACCCCTGATGCCAATGATGTGAAAACTGTCCACCAGATCTTTATATTGTAAAGCTGGTACTTATTTATATCTGTGAGCTGGCCTCTGTGGATTGCTGTGTCCCTTAAGTACTATAATCAGTGCCACACTGCAGTTGCCCAGGTCCTATGAATAGTTACTTCCTAAGTAGTTCTTTTTTTTTTTTTTTTTTTTTTTTTTTTTTTTGTCTTTTGTCTTTTTTCCGTGTCCGGCAACGGATCGCAACCCTCAGTGTTGCCCCCGTACCGGACCGGGGACCGGCAACGGGATTGCAAGCCTCAGTGTTGCTCCCGCGCCTCGCTCAGCCAGTGAGCGGGAGCCGGTCTGTATGTGGGATCCGAACCCTCGGACAGGAGCGCCCTCAGTGTTGCCCCCGTACCGGACCGGGGACCGGCAACGGGATTGCAAGCCTCAGTGTTGCTCCCGCGCCTCGCTCAGCCAGTGAGCGGGAGCCGGTCTGTATGTGGGATCCGAACCCTCGGACAGGAGCGCCCTCAGTGTTGCCCCCGTACCGGACCGGGGACCGGCAACGGGATTGCAAGCCTCAGTGTTGCTCCCGCGCCTCGCTCAGCCAGTGAGCGGGAGCCGGTCTGTATGTGGGATCCGAACCCTCGGACAGGAGCGCCTCCGCGCTTCCCAAGCGGCGCACTATCCAGTGCGCCACCGGGCCGGCCCACTTCCTAAGTAGTTCTTACATTTCAGGGGCACCTTCCCTACTCAGAATCTTAGTTTTCACATGAGTAATAGGGAAAGAGGGCAGGACAGATATTAAGTTAGACCCTTAATTGATGATTTATGTCCGGCTCCTACGAATAGTCAGTCCATCCTGCTGTAGAGGAGGGTGAGAATTTATGTACTCTTTTGAGTTTCCTTCTTTTTAGGGAGTGTGTAAAGTAAGGCAAATCATAACTAAAGCCATAATGTTTCATTATTTTAGTTATAATAAGTTTCCATTTATATCGTCAGAGCTAGGGCTCAGAACCTCCAAACCCACTGTACAGACTGGGTCACCAGACCCCTCACACACAGGTCCATGCTAGGTAATTAGGAAAGATTCCAGGAGCTGTTGGCAGATGGCATGAGCTCAGTCCTCAGCTTCCTCAGTGGCAGCAGCTTACAGGTCCAGTAGCTTACAGGTCCGGCAGTGGCAGTAGCCTTGCAAAGTGTCCCGGGGGCACTAGCAGCAGCAGCCTCCACCATGCCCCCCCATAGGGGTTTATCCTGGGGATGGGAGGCACCAAGGATCAGGGTCACTTGTCCTTATACTTAAGTCCATAACCCAGGACACCTGGGTGCACATGCGCAATTACACTAGACGATAACCAAGGAACACCTGAGCGCATGTGCCTATTTACATCAAATGCTCAGCAAGATTCTGAATATCTGAGGGGCCCTGACCACTTTTCCTATATTTTCCCAACAGAGTGAAATGGGATTACTTGGAATAGGTCAAGGAGCAGGATTGCGCATATCCGTTAATGTAGTGGTCTTTAAGGTTTAAGGTGTGATCCTTAGGTCAGCAACATTATCAACATCACCTGGGAATTTGCTAGAAACGCATTTTTTTTTTTTAAAACTCTAAACCAGACTTACTGTTTCCAAACTGAGGGGTGGTTCCCAGCAATCTGTGTTTTAACAAGTCTTCCAGGCATTCTGTTGCAAGCTAAAGATTGAGAAGCATTGCCTTAACCAGGAAGGAGAGAGATTCAGGGCCTTTTCAGAATAGGAAACACTGATACAAAAACTGGGGATAGAACTGGGCTGAGGGTTGACTATGTTGCCTTATCAGTACTAATCCCCAGGCTCTGGTCCCCTTCTCTGGAGATGTCCCTGTTCTACCCATGTACTTACTGCAAAGGACAGAAGGGAAAGGGAGAGAGTAATGTTGGGAACCTGAATGGGAGTGGAGAAAATGGAGATAGCTTGAGTAAGACGAGTTAGGTTATAAAGGGAACAGAAAAATGACAAGGTTGTAGAGTGTGAAAGTATGCACTAGAGATATTTCCAGAAGATGATCCACCTTCCTATATCAACGACTTTGATGTCTCTTCAGAAACTGTTTTAATTTTTATGATTTTTAAAAATCTTTTCACTACTTTGGTTTCTTTTTTGATACTCAAAAAATGGTTAAGTCATTATGTTCAACAAAAATGTTCTCGAACATGTTAATATTTAATTCAATGACATCTGTAGCACATTTTTAGTTTTCTTTATTTGTAGTTAAGAACATTCTTGTTTGGCTATTTAAACTTTTAGGAGCTGGTCTTTCTACATCCTCTTAGTGGGAAATGGGGAATTCCTTCATATCTCTAACATCTGGCTCATCCCTGGAAAGAAGGATTCTTTTCCTTCTCCTCATTATAATGGATGATAATTACATGCTTGTCGTATTTCCATGGGCGTGACCAGATTTGAGCCCCACTCCAATTATAATTATGCAGAGACATATAACAAACGGTGCTGCTGATTAGGAGTGGGAGGGGCAGGGAGGAAGAAAGAATGGATTTCAAAGTGTATAGGTAGTGAAATCAGATCTTTAAAGATCTCAATAACTTGTCAAAGAAAAAAAATAAGTTGGTAAATATAAATTTAAAAATTAGAAAGTAAACATTGATTTTATACCCAGAAATCCAATCCTTAGCTACTAAGTGTGTATGTATAATTGAAAAACATGTATGAGTAAACTTCTTTTACTGTTAAAATGACACATTACACATACATTTCCACATCTTAGTATGAGTAATGTTGTTGGACTATCACTTTGCTGCCTTTGATTTGTTGAATGTAACTTACATGTTAAGTGCACGTGCATCATTTCCATGTGCAACAGAGATGATTTAATTTCATTTTTGATCTTTTCCCTATTAAATATTTTATCCCAGGATAAAATTAAGAAATTAGGGTAGATGTGCCAAATTTAGCAACTAAAAATACAGGATGCCTAGTTAAATTTGATTTCAGATAAACAATTTTTTTTTTCAGTGCAAATATATCCCATGCAGTATTTGGGGCATACTTATTGAAAGAAAGGCAGCGAGACCCGGTCTGACTGTTCACCAGAGAAGTCCCGTTTATTTAAAGACTGCGCGTCTATTTATAGAGAGCCTCGTTCGGGGACTGGGTAGGAAGTGGACCGGGCAGTAGCTGATTGGACGGGGGTGTGTGTCTTGATTTGTGACAGGTTGGATTCTGGCGCTGGCGGGATCTTTTGGCACTGGCGGGATCGCTTACAGCAGAGAAGAACCCGGAAGGGTGCCATATTGCTGGGGAGTGTCTCCTGTCGGGTGCCCATGGGATCCCCACATCCCTCCCTTTTTCCTCTATTGCAGGGACAGGGTCGTCGAAGTCATTGAGCTACTTCCTGCTGGAGAGGGGCATTGTGGGGAGGAGGAATTAAGTGGGGATAGGAGGCCCTTTATTAGGCCCCAAAGGAGCAGGGGAGAGCATCCATGCGTCTGCAGCCAAGGCACCCAGGAACAGAGACCATCGGTGGTGTAGATCCTTCTCCTAACAGCGCGTCAACTGTTCCGTTGAAGAGCAGGAGAGGGTCCTCTGTGGCCAGTAGCTGGTAGTTTCTAAGCCAAAGCTGGTTAGAAGCTTGGTTAGAGATTTTTAGTGCAATTTTGGCAGCGGTGGGAGTGCATAGAATGATTGGGTATGGGCCCTCCCATTTGGGGGCTAGAGGATCCCGTGGTTCAGGGGAGGTAAACTAAATCCCCTGGATGTAAGGATGTTTTGTGAGGAAGTTGGGTCAGGGAGTAGCCAGTCTTGGTACTTCTAAAGCTCAGCGCGAAGATGGGAAAGTAGGGGTATGGCTAAATTGGAGGGTATGGACCCCTGGCTGGGGGTAATTCCCAGAGGTAGTGGAGGTCTACCATACATAACTTCAAAAGCAGAAAGGTTTGTGGGCTTTCTTGGAAGAGCTCTGAGTCTGAATAGGGCTAAGGGTAAGAGGCGAATCCAATCGAGGTGGAGTTCCAGAGAAAGTTTAGTAAGAGTGTAAAGTGGTGAGATTATTTAGGAGGCATTGTAGGAGGAAGTTCCCATTAGAGGAGAGGAACCATTAGAGGAGAGGAACCAGAGGAGAATCAGAGGTGAGTCCTTCGGCTGGAGGAGAAAGGCGAGACCCAGAGGGTGTCCCCAATGAGCTGCACCAGTCTCCGGAGGTTCGTGAATGAACCGGGAGAGAAGGAAGGTGTGGGTCGTCACCCAGACCTTACCTTCTCGGGCAACGGCCCGGAGCCGAAGGAACCTAGCGCTAGGTTTTGTCGGCGGGGGTCCTGGGCCCGGAAGAAGGAAGTACAAGAGCGGTAGGCAGGAAGAAGGGAGAGCGGAAGAGAAAGAAAGTAGGATGGGAACTTAACCTCCAGGTGTTTAGGAGGCATTTACCTTCTCTTCTGCCTCAAGAGACATCTGGAAATACTTGGTAATGCTATCCAAGGCGCCCGGAATATCTGAGTTCTTGATAAATTCAAGTTGTAGTAACCAGCCAAGCACCTTTCACAGTTGTGACCTGTGGTATAGTCCTGGCAGCTCAAGCACTCCCTTGTCACTGAGTCACAGTCATCAGCATGGCCATTGCACTGGCAGGGCTGGCAACTCGGAAAGCCCCAGTACCCAGGTAAACACCAGTCACACTGCCGAGCATACACCCCCTGGAAACAGTGACACTGGCCAGTGATAGGATTGCAGAAGGCATTGACAGCTCCTTGCAGATTGCACTCACAAGGTTTGCATCCACCGGGGCCAAAGCCGAAGGTTCCAGGTGCACACCTGGTGCAGGTTCTTCCAATCACGTTCGGCCGGCACTGGCACTGGCCTCCGTTGGGGTCACACACAGAACTTAATGAAACCTGAGGGTCACATTCACAAGCCAGGCCTGTCTGGTGTAACAGGGCAGAAATACTAAAGATTATATTTCTGCAAACATCTGTCATTGGCGTTTTCACAACGCTTCTGCTGTTCTCCAGACATCGGTATCTCTGAAAGGTTTCCCAGGCACTGTTGGTGACCACCCCATCTCCTGAGCCTCCCACGGTGAAGATGTCCAGTGATTTACAGTACGGCATGAGAACGAGCGAGTCAATGAGCATGTAGGGGTTTTCCACATCACTATCAGAGGAGGTGTACTGGGGCAGCTCTAACCTCACCGTGTAGTTCATGCCCTTCTCAAAGCACACCGGGCGAGAAAGTACAACATACCTTGAGCCTGGTGATAAGGACACCACCTGGTTGTCATCATTGGGAACAATATTACCACATTGGCTGCTGGTTGGAATCTTTCCAGGTCGCTGCACCATGACAACGGCTTTTTCCCAGTGGTCAGGTAGCTGTGGCTCATAGCAAATTAGAATGTCATACTCCATGGAATATGGTATGTTGTCAATGTTCTGCAGGTGGGGCCGTACCTGGTGGATACCCCAAGGCAGCTTAGCCCGGTTGCAATCCTCCAGGAAGCTGGGGATGTTGCTGTCTGTAGGCTGGAAGCTGATAAGGTCCGAATGACCCTCCTCCTCCATGAGGAGAAGCCCTTCCACATCATCTCGGGACACCTGATTCAGCTCATCATGCAGGGAGCCTGCATGGCTGGGGCTGGAAGGGGGGATCTCAGAGCCAGGCATGTCACCACTGGGCGTGAGGGAGATATGGCAGTTCCAGCCTGTCTCCAGGCCCATCTTTTCTGCAAACACCTTGCTTTTGAGCTCATCCTCCAAAGAGAAGTAGACAAAGCGGATGCAGGCATTGACCAGCCCATCAATAAGGCGTACAGTGTCCAGCCGGGCCTGGTACTGGGAGGACACCATGCCCATGAAGATCTGGCCACTTAGGGCCTGCATGCAGTCTCCCTTCTCCAGCACCTCCCCGATCCCTTTGTCAGAGCTCCAGCTGTTGCGGCTGGTGTTCTGCTTAATGGAGACAGTGCTGGGAAGCTCGCACATGGTGAACATGCTGCTCTGGCCGGGCACCTGCACAAGCTCGATGCACTTGCCATTGAGCTGAGAGGACAGGGCGCAGTTCATGGGCTTGTAGGTGAAGGCGGAGCAATAACCCGACAGGCAGGCTTGCTGGTAGAAATCCAGCACTTTCTTTCCGTCGGAACCAGAAAGAGGGCAGATGTCAGCTCCATCCCAGAAGTCTGTGCAGGCCTCCAAGACCACGTCGGCTGTGCCATGGGACAGCATCTGCTCTGTGCTGGTCGTGGTGTCCTTGATGAATAGGCTGATCATGTGGCTGAGGGGAGGGCATCGCTTGGTGACGCAGGAGAGATGCCCTAGTGAGGTCTCCTTCACTGTCTCAGCGCTGGGGAGGCGGTACAGCGCAAGGTGGTTCTCTTGTTTGAAGAGATCCTTGGTGCCAGGAGTGAAGCTGATGAGGCGGGCGAGTTCACAGAGGCCCCAGGGCACGTGCACCGGCAGCACGGCGCTGTGGCTCTCCTGCAGGGCGATGTTGCACAGGTGGTCTGAGAACCGGCATAGGCACTTGGTGACGCTGGCATTGCACAGGTTCAGCAGCACGTTGAGGCCTAGGGGCTTGAGGGAGGTGAGGTGCAGCTGCCAGTTGGAGTCATCGAACTGGATGCAGGAGGGATTCTGCTGGTCCTGGGACAGGCTCAGCATCTCCAAGTGGTAGTCACACACAAAGTCCTCCGCTTCATAGGGTTCGCCCTCCATCCCTGGCTGTGTCTTGCTGGGCTCATCTTCACCACCTTCAGTGTCCCTGCTGAAGCTCATGTTGGAGCCAGACGGGTGCTTGCTGTGGCCATGCACTTTGTGGTGAGAGTAAGGCTCAGGGGCCTTGGGGCCATCACCAGGCCAGTCACTACGCTCCTGCTCGTTGGAAATGTGCGGGGGGTTGTTCAGGGAGCCAGCCAGGAGGGCATCTCGTTCATGGGGCTCAGCATGGCAGAAGGAACGAGTGGATAGGTCACCTGTGAGGTCCTCATGGCTGCTGTGAGGGGGCTCCACCTTCCCACTGAAGAACAGCACAGTCTCTGGGCTGGGATTTGGCCATGAAAGGATCCCCTGTTTGTCTATGCAGCATAGGACCGTGACAGAGCCTAAACTGTGCAGCAGGCTGGAACTATGGCTCAGCGTTGGTGACGTCCCCTTGATCACCCTCAGGAAGTGGCCCCAAATACAGCGTAGCATTTCCTGAGAGGAGACAGCTTCTGTGTAGCTGCTGAGAGTATCCTCTGAGAACTTGGCCAGCAGGGAGCTGGGCGAGGCCTTGCTCATCTGGGCCAGGACACGGGCTTCTCCACAGGCAGTTGCCAGCACCCAGAGGACTGGAAAGAGCAGGGGGAGGATGGGCAGGACACCGTTCACCTGCAGCTGGAGGAGCGTGTACTGCCAGAAAGTGACCCCAGGGGCATTGAACATGAAGCGCAGGGCATTGGTGATGAGGAAGCTGGCCAGGACAATGGGTACTGCGTAGTGCAGCTTCACGGACTGCACTGTGAACCTCTCATTGTCCAGAGCGGTAACTGGGCGGGACAGGGCCATGTCCAGGCACCATCTGATGTTGTCAATGACAGGGGTCTCAAGGACACGGAAGAGCCGGTGCTGCTGGGGGTTCTGTGGCCCTTTCTTCACCTCTCCCCGGGGCGAGGGGGGTGGAGAGAAAGGGGGGAACAGGTCTTCCGGCTCCAAGACAATGTGCTCATCATCCTTGATCCCCCTCAAAGAGGTGAACGATTCCTGGCCAGGCCTCAGAGCTATGATGTCTCCTTCTACCAACAGGCTAACTGGCAGGTTGCCCAGGTGTCCGTCTCTGTAGGCCCAGTGCAGAGACCAGGATGGCGCAAAGGGCATGTGGAGGTCTGGATACAGGGCATTCGGCCACTTGATCTCCTTGCCATCCCTGAGGACATCTTGGATTTGGTCAATGATCCCTTGCAGCCTCCGCTCCACCTCCGGACACTTCACATTTTCAATGAGATGGCTGTCAGGATTGAGGGTCTCATGATAAGGATCTTGGGAATTGCATATGAAGCACCTTTTGTCCTCCTGCAGATGGCTGACGATACAGTAGGGCTCGGGCTTGTGCAGTCCGCACGTCGAGGTCACCGAGAGCTTCTGTGCCCGGCCGATGAGAAGGTCGCCTGTGGCGGGGTAGCAGCTGCTTTCAGCGCAGCCGTAGCTGAACTCGGGTTCTTGGGCACGCACTTGGGCTCCGCACAGGGCTAAGAAACTGAAAGCGAACACCTGGAGCAGCCACATGTCCGGTCCTTGCAGCCGTGGGGACGGCAGAGGAAGGGAGAACACGCCGCCCGAGCTGCCTGCCCTCTCTTCCCGTCTTCTTTTCAAGGGAGGCGCCTCTGCTCATGCGCACAGGCGGAGCAGGGGCTGAGGGGGCGGGCGGCAGGAGGCCACAGCCTGGTGGGGAGGGGGCGAGGCCCAGGGCCCACCCCTGGGGCGCCTCTTTTGTGTCTCCCGTTCCCAGCGTGCGGCTGGGCTCCGCGCCTGGGTGCGAGTCCCGAGCACGGCGCGGAGGGGCCGTCTGGGCACGGGGGGCTTACCTACAGATGAGCCGGTGGTGAGTGAAAGGGAGTCAGCGCCGGAGAAAATGGACGAGGGCGGACGAGGGCGGACCGTCAGTCCGGGGAGACGGAGAGGAGTCCGAGGAAGGAGTACCCCGAAATAAGAGAGGGGCGAACTCCTCCCGGGTTTCTGCACCAAAATGAAAGAAAGGCAGCGAGACCCGGTCTGACGGTTGACCAGAGAAGTCCCATTTATTTAAAGACTGCGCGTCTAGAGAACCGCGTTCTGGGACTGGGTAGGAAGTGGACGGGGCGGTAGCTGATTGGACGGGATTGGATGGGGGAAGTTCAGCTCATACCACACCCTTCCGGGGTGTGTCTCGATTTGTGACAGGTTGGATTCTTGTGCCAGCGGGATCTTTTGGCGCTGGCGGGATCGCTTACAGCTGAGAAGAACCCGGAAGGGCGCCATATTGCTAGGGAGTGTCTCCTGTAGGGTGCCCATGGGATCCCCACACTTATACTAAATATTTGTTAGTTGTTTCTGAGATTTAAGTTTATCAGTCATCCTGTATTTTATCTGACAACCCCAAATTGGTAGAAACTTTAAAATTACTACATCTAAGCAAAACAGTCTTTCAAAATTGCCCCAGCTATTAACTAAACTTTTTTTGAAATATTTATGGCTGTGGGGTATGTGCAGCTTTAGACACCCTGAAGGAAATGCTACCCTTTTACCCATACTCAAGAAATCACATTGGAATGCAGTGAATTAAAGTGACAGATTTATAGGAATAATCTTGAAGACATTCTGCATTTTTTTACAATATAATTTTTGAAGAGGTAATACATGCATGCCTCTCTCTCTCTCTCTCTCTCTCTCTCTCTCTCTCTTAGGTTTTCTAAGCTTAAGCGACCCATTGGTATATTTTTTAAAATTGTGGTAAAATATACATGACATAAAATTTACCATCTTAACTTTTTTGAAGTGTACAGTTCACTGGCATTAAGTACATTCACATTGTCCTGCAACCACCTATATCTCCAGAACTCTTCATCTTGCAAAACTGTAACTCTACCCATTATGTAGTAACTTCCTCACCCCTCAGCTTCGGGAAACCCCATCTACTTTCTGTCTCAGTAAGTTTGATTACTCCAGGTACCTTGTGTAAGTGGAGTGATGTAATGTTTGTCTTTTTCTGACTGGCTTATTTCACTTGGCATAATGTCTTCAAGGTTCATCCACATTATAGTACATGTCAGAATGTCTTTTCTTTTTAAGGCTAAATAATATGCTGTGTGTGTGTGTGTGGTGTGTATATACCACATTTTATTTATCTATTGATGGACACTTGGATTGCCTCTTCATTTAGACTATTGTGAATAATGATGCATGCACAGGGGTGTAGAAATATGTCTGCGATCTTACTCTCAGTTCTCTAGGGTACATACCTAGAAGTGGAATTGCTGACTCATCTGGTGATTCTATGTTTAATTTTTTGAGGAATCTTCATATTATTTTCTGTAGCAGCTACACCATTTTAATTCTTACCCTCAAATACACACCGATTTTAATTTCTCCACATGCTCACTGATGCTTGTTACTTTCCACTGATGCTTGTTACTTTCTATTTTGTTTTTGTTTTCGTTTTTGTTGTTTTATAGTAGCCATCCTAATGGGGTGTTAAGTGGACACCTCTTATTTAAAAAAATATAATCACTAAAAAATATGGTGCTTCAGTATTGGTAACATTATTTGGCCCAAGTGCATGAGTGTGTTGATACACGGTAGTTGAGAACGGCGGTTCTATTCTGTGATACTGGGTTGGCAGGGGAAATTATACTGGGATTAGAATGGAGAACCTTGATGACTTTTCCACAGTATCCCAAGATACTCTTTATAGAATGGCTTCTTTGTTTTATTTTTCAAGAATTTCCAGAATGTCATCTGTGTTTATATTAAAACAAATACTGTAGACACAGTCCATGCTCAAGTAGAAGGGAGTGTGTTTTGTCTGAGATATGCCCTTCTCAACATGATGACATGATGGCCTTGAGAACAGGATTCCCATCTCAAAGGATTTGCTCAACTTAGGTTTCCTGAGCATCTGCTACCTGCTAGGCACCATGTTTTATGCCGAGGACACAAAGAAGGATCTGCACATTTTGATTTTGTTCAGTGCTCCGTAGGTACAGTGATGAGCATGTTTTAGGTTCTCAGGAAATGCCTTTTGAGTAGATTGCATTTTGGTATTTTTGTCGTTTTGTTCTGTCTCCAGTAGTTCAAAAAAATGAGAGAAGGCAGTATTATTTCTTTTGCTTTCTTTAGTGAATATACTTTTAAAAATTATTTTTTGCAGTGTTTTATGCCCTCCAGCAGTCCTCAAGGAGGTAGCGTTCTTCTCAGTTTATTGATGAGAAGACAGAGGCTAGGCATTGTTAAGACATGAGAAGACAGAGGCTAGACATCATCTGAGCGTTTGGTGTGGCTTGAGAGCAACTGAATCATTGCAGGAAAACTCGCCTTTTCCACCAAGATGTGATGATCATTCTGGATAGGAAGCTCTTCCGGTGTTCCTGTTTTATAACATGATCCCATAAAATTTTATCATTGATTCTATGGTTGTCACAAGGCTTATTCTCTTTTAAGTGAATTGCATACTGGATAGAAAAGTAATTTAAATCCCTTGTATTTTACTCTGTTTACATTCTTGTTAATCAACATTGGGCTTCTGTGGACTTGAAAATAATTCTTTTTTTTTTGCGGCTGGCCAGTTCGGGGATTTGAACCGTTGACCTTGGTGTTATCAACACCACGGTCTACCAAGGGAGCTAGTCGGCCAGCCCTGAAAATATTTCAACTACATTTCAAAAATAATTATTACTTTGTGATTAAACTGAGCATTATCATGTTCACATGAAGCAAATATCTATGCATCACCTTTTGAAAATAATGTATAGGTCCCTTTTTCAAGACAGGTTGTTAGAATTTTAAGTTTTATGCTTTTAAATGGATCTGGGGTCAATTCTGTTTTAGATTTTAGTTCTTTCTTAGCTCAAAAGCATTCTGCTAACCATTTAGGCCTGCAGCAGTTTCTTTTCAGCTAATTTATTCTGGTTTCTCTCTGTGCTTTGAGATTTTAAATGGCTAACTTTGCATGAAACATGCTTACACAAGAACCATCTGGTGTATCAAGGTGACCCATTCTCAACTCACTTGATTAAATGTTTCTTTCTGGAATGTTCTCTGCTATCTTTATACACACGTGGATACCTTTATCTAGTGTAATATTTTGTGTCTTGGATTTAAGACCAGGTCATTGCTTCTCAGTTTTTGGCTCCTTGTTTCACAGAATGTGATAACTGTCATTTCATGCACAATTATAAAATCATGCTGTAATAAAGCCTCCTTTATACTTTGTCATAACTTGACAGTGTTAGTACAAAAAAGTTGACAGTAAGATGTTCTCCTTTATTAGTCTGAAACATCTAGGTTAGAGCTTCTTGGCAGTGCTGGATCAGATTTTAGGCCGAGTTAGTGTCAGGGTTTATGCTGTCCCACGTGTCCTGGTTCTGCCTTCCTCCCTGACAGTGCCTGCGGGGAGCTGCGTGGGTGGCAAGCATTAGACTGCACTTACATTCCCAGTAAGGCTGTTTGTTTTGCCTTGTGAGACAGGCAGAGCACAGTAAGAGGAAGTGCCGGACATTAGAAGGCAGATGACCAGAGATGCATTTGATTTTGAGCAAGGCTCACTTTATTTCCTTATTTTAAATAGCAGGATCTGCTGCGTTCTCACTACCTTTTATTGCTGCAAGGATAAATAAGATATGATTTGCAATGGCTTATTGTAAATTCAAAAGCCCTATACAAAAATAATCTTGTATGTATTAATTTGAAGAAATGGGTTAATGTGCTACCTACCAAAGATGGAAGAATTAAAAAATAATTTACTTTAAATGGTATCCTAAAAATTTCAGAGTGTTTTTACATATAGGTCTCATTTGAGCATTTTAATACCATTGTGAAGTAGGAAGAAATGCTCTTATCAGAACTGTTCTGTGATTAGAGTAACTGAGGGTTTTGGTGCCCTGACTGAAGTCCCTGGGTTGAGACCCTGGGGCTTTTTTCCAGGCCTGGACCACTGTCACTACCTGTGCTTTTCCTTCATGCTCCTAAATAGGTGTAAGAAAGTCATGGCCTTGGGCACAGCTGACCCACCATGTTTTCATGTCATCCCCTTTCAGCTGAGCCTTGTAACACAGGTAAAGGTAGCATTTCTTGGGTTGAAGCAAGAGACAAGGGGCTTAGGAGCTTTTCTTTCAGGCAATAGCTTCAAACCAGGAGCCATCTCAGTGGAATGTCTCTCTGCCCTGTCCCTATGACCGTTCTATGAAAATCAGCCCTTTCCCCATATGATGCTTGTACTAGCTTCTTGAATCAGAATTTAAACTTCCTGGTGGCCAAAATATATACATGGGAAGGACTTAATAGCAGCAATCTGATGGGAGGAATGTGTGCTGTTTGCATAGCAAGCACATTATTTTTATGTGGATTGCTATTTTTGGAGGCGTGACTTGGTGGGAGGACATCATGAAAGAGGAAGGGGACAAGAATACTTGATATTACCGTAGACTCTCACATTGTTTGACTTGATTTGTTTCCCCAAGTAGATTGTTCTTCAGGACTTTCAAAAGACTTTGCGCAAGGTTTATTTGTATAGCTCACGAGGTTTTACACAG